TACAAATTTCCTATCATTAAAGGAATTTGTAATGTTATTAATGAGATCTAGGATAGCATGTTCTGTTGAATGTTGCGTTTGAAACCCGTATTGATTTTCACTTAAGATTTTGTGTTTTATTAAATATTTATACAGTCTGTTGTAAATTATTCTTTCAAGGAGTTTAGAAAATATAGGAAGAATTAAGATTGGTCTATAATTGCTAATTGCAGATGTATCTCCACCTTTAAATATAGGTACAATTATTGCTATTTTTAATTTGTCTGGGACAATTCCGTTTTTGATTGAAGAGCTGAAGATATTAAAAATAGGCTTTCTTATTACAGAAAAAATATAAAGCACAACATTGTCAGAGATGTCATTAATACCTGGGGCCTTATTCTTTTTAATTGATTTGATTGTTGTTTCTAGTTCATCAAAAGTTAATTTTTTAAGTTTATTTTTTATTTATTCAAACAGATTTTTATATTTTTTATAGGCATTAAGATTAGCTTCGTTTCTGTTTTTTAAATACTTGATGTATAATTTTTGCTTTTTTTTTGAAGATTTTCTTATTCCGCGTGTAATCCAAGGACATTTTAAATATTTTGTTTTGACTTCTATTTCTTGTATTGGAAAATGTTTGTTAAAATATTCAAGAAAGATGTCGAGAAATAAATTATAAGCGGAATTTGTGTGTCCAAGGTTACATTCTTGGTATGCATTTATCCAATTTATTGTTGATATAGATTCTTTAAATTTAAGCATAGAATGTTCATTCATTTTTCGTTTCAAGACTTTGATTTTAGAATTATCATTTATGGTTGCATGTTCAGCAAAAGAAAAGAAAATAGGAAAATGATCCGAAATATCAGTTTTAATTATTCCTGTTTTAATAGACTTATCTAGAAAAGAGTTAGTTAAAATATTATCTATAGCACTAATGGAAGTTGTTGTAACACAAGTTGGTTTGTTTATGATTGGGATTATGCCGTGTTAAAAGATATTGTCAAAAAAGATTTTAGTATAAGGGTGTTCATTGCACTTTAAACTATCTATGTTGATGTTACCGATGCAGAATAATCTTTTATGTTCATTATTGCTTTTGATTAAAATTTGTTGCATATAATTTGAAAACTGAATAACATCGCCGTCGGGTGGTCTATAACAAGTAGAAACTACAACGTTTTTTGTATTTTTAACTATTATCTCAATTGTTAGGACCTTACTGTCTGAATTAGAGATCGAGAGGTCTTTTCTAATTTTGATATCGTGGTCATTACGAATGTAAATTAAAATTCCGCCTCCCCTTTTGAGCGTTTTTCTTTCAAATGAAATTATTTTATAATTAGGAATCTGAAAATTTGAATTTTTTTGAGCTGACTCATCATCACACCATGATTCTGTGAGACAAATCATGTTAAATAAAAAATTGGATTCTAAAAGAAAGGGTTTTAGTTTGTCTATATTTAAACTTAAACTTCTAATATTGATGTGTATCACCGTGAAATTTTTTATATATGTTTTTAATAGCGTTTTAAAAGTTTCAGTGTCATAGTATTGCAAATTAAAATCTAATTCTTTAAAAACCTGTTTATCTGCGTCATAATAGTCGTTAAGTAAAATGCTGTTATCAGTTTCAAAAAATTTAATTGTTTGGTTTCAAAGTCAAATGTTTTGTAAGTCATTGCGCACGATTAAGAGTTTATTTTTATAAAATTGAGGTTAAGCATTTAACTTATTTCCGAAATTCTCGTACAAAAATTTTATCATATTTGATAATTGCAAATTTACCTTCTCTTCGTTGTCTTTTTATTTCTTCCCAAAGCTTTTTTCGTTTTTCTAAGGTTTCATTTGCGTAATCTTCATTTATGAATACTCCACTACCCTTAAGTTTTTTTGCTAAAGATAATATTTTGCTTTTTTCGTTCGCGGCTTGTCTTCTTTTACTTGTCCTACTCGATGGGCTCTCTCAACTACTATGTCCTCTGCAATTCCCAATTGGTTTTTAAAGATATTTTTTACTATGCTAACACAGTCATTCCATGTTTCAGAGTTAGATTCGGATACTCCGTATTTAGTTCATTAGACTGCACTATTAAACGTAAGAGTTGTAATAAAGTAGGAATTTGATGCCACTTGACGATTTCACTACCATAAAAAATATTCGACATCGGAATTTGACGCCATTCTACTTTTGAATATCTTTTTTGATACCCCCTTAGAAAATATTTTCCCTTCATGGTTTAGTATTATCAAAATGCCATTCTATGATATACGAAATGATTTTTAACGCAAAAAAAATTGTAAAACATTTATCTGAACTTGGAGAAAAGGCGCAGCGCATAGAGATGCCTGGAAAAGGTAAAGACAATATCTGTAAATTTACAAACTATAACAAGCAAATGCAAATGCCTTATATTGTTTATGCTGACTTTGAATGTCTGAATATTCTAGTGGAAGGAGCACAAACCGATCCAGCTAAAGGTTCTACTCGCTTAGTTGCAAAATAGATACCTTG